CAAGGGCAGATCAACGTAGGGTGCAGGCTTCATCGGCCCCTCCCTGGTCAGCATCAGAGTACTCTTCGGAGTCGGAGGCCAAGTCAGTGGCTTCGACCGGGCCCTCATATAGGTCGCGGCCCCGCCATAGGTCCCACTCGTTGGTCAGATCATCTCACTGGGAGCCAATGGTCCAGCAGCAGTCGCAGGGGCAACCCCAGTGGGCTTTCTGGACCCCCTGGGCATACCATCAGGCCCAGGGGCCTCCCCCTACGGGGCCGGCAGTGGGGTCATCTCGAAGGAGTAGCACCTCATCTGCCACCCCCTTGACAGCCCCCCCCGCCTGGAGGTGGCTCGCCCATGGCATCGGTGCCGAGACCCCCGGTTATTGGTCAGGGAGAGCCAGGGGCACAGATAACCGAGGAGGCAATCCCCTCAAGGGAGTTCTCGTCGTCCTCACCAGACGAGGCCCTGGCCGACCCCGCACCTCAGCCCCCGTCTATGGACTCCAGGGCGCACCAGGAGCTGCTCCGAAGGCTGGCGGTCAATCTTGCGGTCCAGCATGAGGAGGTTCACGAGGACTTAGATCCGATGGTGGACATCATAGCGGCAGCGGGCCCTGGTCGAGTGGCACTCCCACTGAATAAAATGGTGGACAAGCTGTCTAAAACCCTGCGGCAGACGCCGGCTTCTATTGCACTGACCCAGAAGGGGGTCGAGAGAAGGTACTATGTACCCCAGGAGGGGCACAAGCATCTTTTTACCCACCCGGCTCCGGGATCCATAGTGGTTCAGGCCGCTGGGCAGAAGGAGCGCCAAGGGCCTCCAGGTCCTACTCCGAAGGCGAAGGAGCCTAGGAGATTGGACCTACTTGGTCGGAAGGCCTACGCCACGGGGGACCTCCAGCTGTGTATAGCTAACCAGCAACTGATGCTGGGGCGTTATGCTTTTAACACATGGGCGTCTATGCAGAAATTTGCCAGCCAGCTTCCTCCCGAATCCCGCCAGGAATTCGGGGCCCTGATGGAAGAGGGACAAGCAGTGGCGCGTACCTCTCTCCAGGTGGCCTTGAATGCAGCTGATTCGGCAGGCCGCACTATGGCCACAGGGGTTTTTATGAGGCGTAGTGCCTGGCTGCAGGTGTCTGGCATCCCACCCGAGGTGCAGACCACTATCCAGGACCTGCCCTTTGAGGGGCCGACCTTGTTTTCAGAGCAGACTGATTCCAAGCTGCATAGTCTAAAGGAGTCAAGGGCAACCCTGAAGTCGCTAGGGATACATACCCCGGCGCCTCAGAGGCGCTCTTTCCAGACTAGACCCTACCCTAGAAGGGGGCAAAACAATGATAGGGGTCGCAGGAGAGGC